ATAATAATAATAATAATAATAATAATAATAATAATAATAATAATAATAATAATAATAATAATTGATATTATAGCTAGATAGGAGCTGCAGGGGTGATGAGATTTCTACAAAGGGGCAGTCCGTCAATCATCTGTAAACTTCTAGTGTTGATTTAACCAGTCAGAAGGTAATTAGCAAGAGATAGCATAGCTAGGAGTGATCATATGTTATTCAAATGAACATGACTTTCTTTGCAGGCTGAAACTGAATTTCCTAGTCGGCCTAACTTCCTGTGGCACTGAACACTCACAGTTTGAGTGTTTTGTTGTTTCCAGATTTGCTGAAAAATTACAGCAATGGATTGATTCAGTAGTGTGCATGGTACTGTACACATTTTGAAATGGCTACCAAAGCAATGGGTTGATCACTCAATTTTCACACCAATTGTTGTTTTACTGGCCTTGTCATCTTTTCATGGGTATTACAAGTTGGCTTTAAGAGCAGGTTTTAATCTTTTAAAAATGTTTTTTTAGAGTTTTCCTTCAAAATTATGTTCTTTTTAGTGTTCTGGGAATTGGTCTATGCTATGTAAATTGACAGGACGTGTTGTTCAGGATAGAAATGACTATATAAGCAAATTTACAGTGCGACTACTCGAACTGGGCCACCTAGAAGAAACCTAAACAAGCAAAACGTGAAATGAGAACAATGGACTGGTAGCTTTCTTGTGATGGCAAGAAATGAGGGTCTGTTTGACATAAAGCTATCAACCCATCTGCATTATATACAATCTTAGAGATTCAGTCCTTGATGGTGAATTATCATAATTATCCGGAGCCTATGACCCAGAGCCTCCACATGTAAATAAAAAAATTATACCCTTGAGTCACACCTTTCCTGTATCTTTTTATTTTTAGAAACAGCATTTTCCATGAAAACTACTGTTTCCATCGTAGACTGCCTGGGGTCAATTTTACTCTTAAAAATATGGCGGAAAATGGTGATACACATTCCCTTGTACTTTGTTTGTTTTCCTGACCATTAAATGATTCCTTCCTGTCAGTACAGTCGAGAGAGCCTGGTTTGGGGTTGAATGAATAACTGGTAATATTAATAAACAACTTTCCTGACCTTGAAGTTGTCAAATGTCTAAACTGAACATGGAGTTGCTGTCATGATCGAGTGCGACTTATTTGCTTGTGCTGCTCTTTCAAGCTCTGGTTAGTGTGATAATGTAGCTTATCAACTAAACAGAAAGCCTTAGTGCTCTTTGGACAGGGCCTGTCCCAGGATGAAGGCAGAGATTGATAAAGAAATACTGTGTTATGTGATCTCGTGCAAGGTGGCATTGGGAATATGCAACGATTATCAAGTAGTGCAAAAACCCTGGCTCAAACTAACAGTACTTATCAGGGTCAATTCCTTCACATAAAACCTAGCAACAAAATGTCTGTTGTTTGTGAAGTTGATCAGCTGGAACTGTGGCAAAGAGAATTGTCAATCGCTGGTTTTGGAGATGAGATCTTGCATTTTACAATTTGTGAATGTTCCCAATAGATGTCTCAACAAGACAACAGGCAAAGAACTGTTGCACGCTTTGCCAGCTTGTAAGGAAGTCTATTGATCTAGCAAGGCTTTCATCCTAGGCGATAGGGTTTGACCCTTTTGTATCTGTAATTTCTTGGTTGCATGCAATTGTTAAGTTTCCATATGGTTGATTTGGGCTCATTTGTGATTCATACATACAATACCTGTATTTATTGTATTATAATGTTTTGGTTGGACCTATGTGGCAGAAAATCTTCAGTGAATTTAACTTGGTTATGTATTAACTATATGTTGACCTAACGTCAATTTAAAGTCATTTTCACTATGTCTCTGCCTGCGCATTTTTGGTTGCGATGCCTTTGGATATTCTTTTCTACATTTATTTAGAGTCTCACTGCAAGCAGGCTAATTCGTACTGCAAATTTCCCTACTTATACAATACTCAGCAGAACTTGGATTGTTTCCTTTTGATTCTTCTTGTTTAAATATGAGTAGGTTAAGTTTAATTCTTACCGGTACCCTGGGATCCACTGTAATTGGCTACGCTGTAGTTGTCTCCTGGCCTAATGAACTTTTAATGTATATAAGTTAGTATTTTAGTTAGGTGAAGGTAAATAAATAAGGTTTACTCACCAAATTAAAAAGAAATAATAAAAACCCTTCCTCGTCATCACTGTTTGAAGAAGAACGTAATTTGGAGGAAGAAACAACATTGAGCTTTACTTCGAAAGCCCACACTTTCCTTCTATTGTTATTTATGATCATGCAAGAGTGCGGCGTGCGCAACAACAACGGAATATTATAATTGCGTTGTGATTAGGTGTTTCAAGGGTGGGCACAAAAGGGTTGACTCCAAGGGTTAGTATTGGAGGTGCAGGCACGGGTCATGGGCCCCTATAGTTATAAATCTCGCTCAAAAAACTTAGCTTGAAAATTCATTTTGTGACAACTAAACCAAGACCATTGAAAAGCCTGCAAAAATTAGGATCAAAACTAACCAATCAACAAATGGCAAAGTTTCCTGAGAGGTTTGCAACAATTCACACTTGGTTGGGTTTTCAATTTTGTTAAGTACTATTGTTCATGTTCTTCAGTGTTGTTGATTTATTTGAGAAAAAGATTGCTATCCTGTTATCAAGTAGCTTTCTGATTGGTTAAATTTTTTCCCAGTGGCCTGGTTTGAGTAGTCACACTGTAACAGACTGATGAGTGTATGGATTCTGGATTTGAAATATAGTGAGACTGTACAGTTGGTTAGAATTTTAAACCATTTGCAAGTTTCCCTTACATGTAATAATGAATTTAAAGGATAGGTCAGATTATTCCTGCTTTGAACAGTCAATTCCCCTATTATTTATTACAAACTAGCTGTAACAAGATAATTTTTTTAACCCTTAGGTTGATTCCACACATAAAAGGAAATGTAGGCTTTGTGTTTACTAAGGAAGAACTTACTGAAATACGGGATCTTATCCTGGCAAACAAGGTGGCTGCCCCAGCTAAGGCTGGTGCAATTGCTCCCTGTGATGTGTTTGTTCCAAAGGGTAACACAGGTTTAGGGCCAGAGAAGACTTCGTTTTTCCAGGCATTGGCCATTCCAACCAAGATTGCTAAGGGAACTATTGAAATCTTGGTAAGTGTCATTGTTTTATTTGTAATTTAATGATATTTAGTTTTTGTTACTGATTACATGCTTTTCTCATCTTTCAGCATCTCATAAGAACAGCTTTTTATAACATACAGAGTTCTGTGAATTCAACTACAGATAAATTGATAAATTTCTTTGACTGGTGATATGAACTATGATGTTTTTATAGGTAGAACAAGTGATATTATATTTTGGCAAAAGATTCCAATCTAGTGCACAAAGAAAGTGGTTTCTAGGGAAAATTTGTCTAGGAAAATTTTTCTAGGAAATTCAAATAATGGAAGTACTCAGGGGTTTCAGTAAGTTTTTTAGCAGCTGGGCATCAGGGTATGACAACCAGGCAGAAAAAATGCAAGGCCCAAAGGGGCTTAGCAAGCAAGGGGGTCCGGGAGCATGCCCCCACCCACCCCATTGGAAAATTTTGAAATCCTAGACTTGCAGAGATGTATTTTCCTGCAATTTGGAACACAAAATTGGCACCATTTAAATGCCTACAGTAGATCATTGTAGAATTAATGTAATCATATTTTGATGCCATTGATCAATGGACCAATCAGTTTTCATAATCTTTTACTGATTATATGAAAAGATGGTGACACAAAAATTTTATTCAGTATTCCATAATTATTGGCTTCGAAATGTTTCCAGCAAAATCAAACTTACAAGAGTTTTTTAATACTCTGCTTTTTTTAATTACCGTGAATGAAAAAAATGTGCTGTTAGCAAACAGCATGATTAGAATTGCTGCATAATTTATACTGTAAAGAGAGTAAGAGACTTACTTGACATGTGAGTTGGCTTCTTTTCATCATTTTAAAAGTGAATTAATAAAATAAAGCTTTTTTAATATCCAGGACAATGATGAAACTGAGCATGATATTGCTCTGAATTTGGTGCAAACAGGTTATATATTTTTGTTTGCTGTTTAGAGAAACAGGAAACTTGAAACTCAAACCTGTGGGAAGAAATAAGTCAAGTGCTAGGCAACCAGTGAAAACAGCAAACCGATTGAAATGACTATCTACAATTTCATCACTTTCTAACGCCAGTCAGGACAGGCTTAGAAATAATCATATACTTCCTTTACACTTTTTGACGAAGAGGCAGAACCAGAAAAGAGAATATTCCGAAACTATTTTGCTATTTTCGTATATTTATAGGCACGAAACGGGAACTGGTGAGTTCTGTGGTATTTGAATTTCACAGTTGTTTTCAGACCATTTTAATACTCTTGCGGGGAAATGTGGAACAATACGGTTTTCAATACGAAGACAATACTAATCAAAAACATTCTTTTGGTGAACTTTCTTTTATANACTAACTAACTAACTAACTAACTAACTAACTAACTAACTAACTAACTAACTAAATAATTCTTTGTCCTAAGTAAATTTATCTGCAAAAAATCTTTTACTCCTCATTTTACAGTACTGTTTTAAAATAAATAAACCCTTTCAATGCATCATGACGCAAAGTTTATTTCCCATGAAACTTCACCTACCTCATGACCTTTTCACTGGTGGAGCAGAAAAAGATTGAGTTATCTGCCACATGATTTTGACACATTTCAAGTGGGCTTTCGCGCTTTACGTGTTTCCGCAATCCGTCATTGGACAATTTGCTTCACAATTCGAAGATACAAGGGATATAATGCATACTATGACCAGCAAAATCATGTTTTCTCTGACTTGAAATAGGTAATTAAATTTTTTAGAAGACTTTTACCCTCAAGGAAATAGCATGGGACAGCAACAGCATGATATAAATTATTGATGAAGCAGCTGGGCAAAGTTCTGTTCACAACTGGTCAATTTGCGTTGTGCCCAGCCCTTCATGGTACCAGCTTTCCCGAAGGACAAGGCTGAAAATTAGTTTTCTTAGCACACTGCAGTTAGCTGGGCTGCTAGGAGGTTCTATGATCAAAAGATCTTGAAGAGGTCACTGACAATTAGTTGTTATGTCGGCTGTTGGAATGAGTGGCAGCTATCCGTAAACACACCAATATTTACTATTTCTGACCTTCCCAAAGAACATTTCAGTTTTTCCCGTGGGTGTTTATGCATTATTTTTTTATGCATTAGTTATTTTGGTATTTTGGTGATAGCCCACAAAGGGAAGACAAATGTGAACATCTTAAGAAAAAGCCAAACAGACTTTATGAATGTGTTAACTCTATTTGAATAATAGTATGAAAATTTGATTACAAGACTTACAATTTTATCAACAATGTGACATTGCTTTTTGCTGTTATCAAAATAACATCCTTTCCTCCAATGAACATGATCATTCACCTGCAGGCAGGTGATCATGTGTAACTACTGATATGAATAGTTACAAATTCTGAAAATTTGAACTTAAGTGATTCCTCTGCCAATCAAACTGTCACATTTGTCTAAAATCAGTTTGTCAACGTACTTTTTCCAAATTTAAACTGGCTCAACCCATCTTTGGTAGTGCAGTGCAGAATTAAGTGATTTGTGCCATGTTACAATGATGCTACTGTTTGGCTCTTTGTACTTTCTCAGAATGATGTGCATTTGATCAAGAAGGAGGAGAAAGTGGGAGCTTCAGAGTCCACTCTGTTGAACATGTTGAAGATCTATCCTTTTTCTTATGGTCTTGTTATCCAACAAGGTATGGAACAGTAGCCATTATTATGCAGTGATTTTAACTCAAATATGATTTTAATGGAATGTGTTTAATATGTACATGTTCACAGTACTTCAGAGTTAAAGAACTATCAATAATGAACTTAATTTTCTAATTTAATCACAAGACAAAACGCACACTTTATTTTGTCTCCTCGCCTATAAAATTACTCTAGCAATTCTAGACTATTCTGATATCGATCTGTCCTTAGGACTTGAGTCGTTACAAACACCTTCATTCCTTCATTACACTAAAAAAATCCTTGAATCAGAGGATCGAAATTACTCACACAAGGGCAGGTCCTAAACTGACCAAAATGGCAAGTTGCTAAAAGGTTTTAGAGCTGCAGAACATGCACTTTGTCGCGTGACTTTCATGAGTACGTGCCGAGTGATCTCCTGACCTCAGTGGAGTGTGAGAAAGAAAGAAAAAACCTGTCCAGCATTGAAAAAAATATCCATAAATAGATAAAGTGGCCAGTAAAACAAGTTCTTTCGTTAGCAGTGGGTCTCCAATCAACCAGCTTTTTATACTTAACTGTGATACCTTTATAGATATTTTACTTCTGAATAATTCTTAATTGTCATGTTGGCAAAGTGGTAAGGTTAATGTCAGAGGATCAGAAGTTGGCGGGTTGAGGTCAGCTGTTTGAATCCTGTTGCGGGGCTCTTTCTTTTTCCTTCGAGCTTCCTTTTTTTTGTACTTCGAGCTACTAGCTAGAGGATGGTTTGTGTTTATATAGGTACTGGAAAATACAAATGTTCCAGCCATAATAATAATAATAATAATTAAAGAAAATGAGACAGTATGGAAATTTAAACATTTGCAGAAGACAAACTTAAACTCTCAAGCATGAAAGTTTAGGTTGAAAGCTGCTCTCAAAGCAGTCGATAGATCACATTACCGTATTTACCCGTGTATAATGCGCACCCATATATAATGCGCACCCTGATTTTCCGGACAATTTTTGAAAAAAAATACCCACCAAAACAAGAAATCCTTGTTCAACAAAAGACAAACAATATGTATATTCAATTGCAACAGTTTAATAACATGAAGTTTCAAGCTTACAGTACTCAGGTAATTAGTGTTGACCTGCGGGTAAACTTTTCTAAATCACAAAGCAATTATTTACAACAGTTTCGAAGTAAGCAATAATTTTACGATTCACAGTAAATGGTTTGAACCCAGGAGTATCAGTAGTTCGTATAGTGTGATCGTCCGGGTGAGTGTAGTTCTGAAAAGAACTGTTGTTGGTGACT